TCACCGTTCTTGAAGCGTTGAAACCATTCACGACACGTTTTTTCACTAATAGCGGCCTCACCATAAGTATTTGAGAGCATTCGATGAGCCTTAGCCGCAGATTTCTTCATATTGAAGCAGAAAATTAAAACCTCCCGCAAATGACGAGAATTTGGCTCGTAAACTGACATTTTCAATCGAGAATAACTTTATGATGGAGACATATATCGACTAATGTTTCTATGGGGTTATGTTGACAGATGCCCAAGTTTATTGTATGACGTCTATGATCTATTTATTTCGACCACCACTTACCGCTAAAGCCATCTATAGAAAAATGGCGGAAGTAAAGTTGTACAATACAAGATACACTAAAAAATAGTACTGAAAAGTGTCTGAATAAAATGAAAAATATTTCATTACGTATTCATTTTGTTCCATTCATTTTATTAAATTTTTCTTTACTAAAGTTAATAATATCCTATATTTTCATAACAGCACGGTTTAAATTATTCCTAAGTAAGCTGCCAAATAACATATTAATGACATATTATTGACGTTAGAGACGTTTAAGAAATGTTAAAGTTTGGTTTATATTTTAAAGTAGAATGACTTTTGACTGAGATTCTAAATTATTTTATTATTATATATATATTTTTTTATTATTATATTTTTTAAATATGAGCAATATATACATCTGTTTAAAATATCTAAATTATCTTATGAAAATAGTATATTCGACAGAAATATTACAGAAAAATCACTAAATTTATACTATCGATTTAATAGTATTAAATAGTTTTTGTTGTTTGTGCCTAAAAGAAGTTGCTATTGTAGTACAAAGTCTTAACAAAGTTTAGAGTTGTGGTTTACTTGTCGGGATGAATCGACACCGAAGGAATCAAATATTACGTTCTTGTATGAAACAAGTTAGATTGGAAAGAGAATTTTCAAACGTGCGGAAACTCCGTAAGCTTTCCGAAGATTTTTCAAAAAGATGGTAACTATACCATCGTGCCAAATAGATATTAACCAATGTTGGACGTATACGTATAATCTATGTAAATGATCCCTTTACATGTAATCTGTATAGATATTCGTGCATCGTTTATGTAAACAATGCTTTTAATAGCAGTTTTCTCTGCCTTTGTTTTGCTTTAGTTTATAATTATTTCGTCGACGTTACGACGCTCTGCCCCGTTAAATCTCAGAGCAATTCTGACATCACTGTGTCAGCTGTCGAATATCAATTTCTTGTCAAAGATTGTCCACAATATTTGTTTAAAAAGTGATGTTCCAACGCATCTCTTTTTCGTATGGAAAAACATCGACTCGATGTGAGTCAGGGAATAACACATGCTATATAATTTGAGATTTGCGTACGTCATTTTTATAATTTACATTCGCGCGAAGTAACTGCGTAAATATTATACAAACGTGATACGAGAAAAGACTGCATAAATTCAATTTTTTGCTCTGTCGCACACGTAAATTTTATTAGCAAAACGTCGAAGAGCTATTTTATCAGAGATGTAAATAAATGACAAGAGAAAAGTCGCTTCTTTCTGCCTTTATGCTTTATCATGAGTTACGATGCGGAAACAACTCCCTGGAAAATTCAATATTACATTTCCATATTCGGATTAAATGTACTTTGCTACCTTCATAATTAGATGGTAAAGCATTGGATCTGTGTTCTTTTGCGTGTGAAATTTCAAAATATATTTTTCTTCGATTACACAGTTTCGCAGATATATGTATACTTCAACGTTTCATAACGATGCAATTTTACTTAAAATTTTGTCCTCTCTCTCTCTCTCTCTCTCTCTCTCTCTCTCTCTCTCTCTTTCTGCTTTTAACCAACAATATACATTGAAATAATTAAGTACATATGTTTGAAGTGAAATTACCTTTTCATCTTGTATCCAACGCATTGTGTGGACTATAACAAGCATAGTCTATTGTAGGTTCGAGCAAACGCGATGTTTACGTAACTATAGATGTGCCGAAAGTTTCTAGGCATTCAATTTCACTTTTATATGCAGCTTCATTAGTTCTATTGTTGATTATTCGCAAAAAGCATCGAAGAACTTTACTCGCCTGAGAAATTCGCCTTGTGCTTCAATGAAATTTGGTATCGAAAGGAAATGTTTCAGATACGGAATCAATGCCCGTTTCCATAATAATTCAGCCAGCTTGTTAGATTCGATAAAGTGCCTCGGGGCTTTATCGACATCGGCCGGATAGATGTTGGTAAAGCTATCACGTCTAAGAGAGGCCGGAGAAAATAGACGAGTCGAGGCTCCGACGATAGATTTTCGCGAAAAACATTTAAAAGCACACGCAAGAGAAAAATTGCTCGAGAACTTCGTGAATTTTCGATCACTCTCGACGACGACGTCGGCCGCATTTTTACCTTTCCCGAGCGAGCATTTGTGTTCGTGCAGATTTGTCGTGCGATACATCTCGCGCAATATCCAACGTATAATACAATGATATAAGTTCGCGTAATGGGCAAACACGGAGAAATAACACACTTCCATCGTGCAGAGTAAATAAGCACAGACGTCATATTTCTAGATTTCTACTATTCGTTACATGCACGAGCTGTCAGGCGAATGTATACATAGCGAAAAATGGAAAGGCGGTACCGAATATGTTTATGCTATGTTGAGTTGGCGCAGCCATTACACAGAAATGCATTTTTATTTTATCAGTCGTACTTCTCCCCGACCGAAAGTGCGATACCGAGCGTTGGATGTGTTTCACTAGGAAACCGTAATTACGGCGATCTCTCGCGCGCGCGTTTGCTCGCGATTTTGCTCCACCACTACTTACATTACGATAACATTCTCATCAGCGTGAAATCGATACGGGTAAATTCAAGTTCGTTAAAAGTAAACTTCCATTTACCTCGTTGTCCTGTCACGCGAGAAGACGATTGTTTCAAGTGCGCTAAAACGTTGACTTAATTGCAGGTCTCTGGGCAGTCGTGCATACCGGTGGCTTGGTTTTGCCCGGCGTCATTGAGAAGCAAACCAGTTCAATGTGGGAATCCATGTTACGTCATAATCTGGTCGCTCCGCTGAGAACAGCCAGAGTATTCATCCCCCTTTTACGTATTAAAAGAGGTTGGTTGTAAATACTTGTCGAAAAACTGTAGCAGCGCATTGTAATTATGCGCACTGAGAAAGAAATACTTGAACATTTTTATATTAGCGGGATAAAAATTTATTTTGCAGAAATAACTTTCGAGTATTTTTTGCTCAGTGTGACTTATTCCAAAAGTGATTTTGAAAAGTCCAGAAAGTCGAGCGAAAACGAACAAACATTGAAAAAAAGTTTAGTAATAATAGTCAAGTTTGGATTAATAATTACCAGCTTGGTGAAATAGTTTCAAATGCATATATAAATGAATATAGTCAAATAACTTTTAACTAATAGCTTTAGCAAGTCTTGGTAATAACTGTTGCCAAGGCTTGGCAATTGTTATTAGGATTCGATGATTATTACCAATTTAAGTGGCATATATCATTAAATAATTTGTTAAAACAATATTGTTTAATGATACTTATCACCTTATGTAAAATATAACCAAATTTCTTGGTAATAATTAAACTAATAATAATAATTACCATATTACTTGATATTGTTATAATTCACCAAATCATATTTAATCGATCAAACTAAATGAAGAACTTATTTTACTAATTATTTTGTAATTATTACAGTTGCTAACTATTACATAATTGATACTAATTATTAAATATTGCACTGAAATGTTCAACCAAATGCATTTGTTAACTATTGTGAGACTTTTTTTCAGTGAATATGTTTTCTTTCCGGAAAAAAAAGAAAGGAATTTATCGAATAATACACAACCAAGATATTTTTTTATTTACATAAAAATATTAAAACTTTAGTTGTATAAACATTGAATTAGTCGCGTTTGTTGTTTCCTCTTGTGTAATTAAGAATTATAATTATTATGATTAGTCTGAATATAATCGCATTGCTCTCTAGCAAGGATTGAAATTTATCTTTAAACATAAAGAGATTAAAGAAATAACGCGAAAGATTTTAATTTTCATATTTTCTTTCTAAAATTTTTTTTTCTTACATTACATGGAAATATTTTAGAACAAATATTTCGTATGTTATTAAGGGGATGCTGAAGATGAAAGCTTTACCGACAAAATACTGACATTTTTCTACAAAGTTTACGTCGTATTGGTTACACAGAATTACAAATGCTTTTACGTAATGAAAGTACGTGCAAAAATAAATAGGAGCATTGTTCGATATGTGATGAGAACGAAGAAAAAATTTTTAATGTAAAATCTCAAGCTGTTAGTTAGCGTAATATTTACCTAATCCAAAAGTTTCACAGCTTATATACAGGGTGAGCCATTTTAATCGACGCATCCAAATTATTCCTAAAATACGCCAGCTACAACAAAATGGTTAAGACAAGAATTGTAGAGGACAACGGGGGTCATTTTACCGTGCTAATAATTTTGATCTTCAGATCGATTTTTAAGGTCATTCGAAGGTCAAAGTCATTTTTTAAAATTAGAACCCCTATTTTTGACACCGGATTCGAAAAGAGCAGAAAATTTTACGTTAAAAATGATATTTAGATTTTTTTTTTCTGAGTCCAAGAAGGTCAAATCAAGAACTTGTTAATTCAATACTTTTAGCGTTACCCGGAAACAACGATGTGGATATAATAAGTTCTGTTTCTTTTGGGGTGCTTGATTATCGTGAGTCCCCTTGCCTCTCACCGTAACTGCAATTTATCATGATTATAAAGATGTTGTTTTTGTTCAACGGACTGCAACAAAGGAAAATGTAATGGAACGAATTCGTAGAGCTTGCGCAGCCATTCCTAGAGACACTTTGTTTTCAACAGTGAGAAATTTTGAACGACGTTTAAATTTGTGCCTTGAAGCAAACGGAGGCAACTTTGAACAGTTACTTCGTGGATAATTATGATAAATTGCAGTTATGGTGAATGACCTTGAAAATCGATCTGAAGATCAAAATTATTAGCACGCTAAAATGATCCCCGTTGTCCTCTACTTCTTGTAATTCTTGTCTTAACCATTTTTTTGTAGCTGGCGTATTTTAGGAGCAATTTGGATCCGTCGATTAAAATGGCTCACCCTGTATATTGAAAGTGTGGATGCCCCAAACAGAAAAATTTTGAAGAATATTGCTCTAATAGTGAAATATTAATGGCACATAAGGAGCTAGCACGGATGTCTTAGTGCTATTAAATACTAATATAATTTTAATATTAATATGATTGAGATTTAATATTAAATGGGATTTTAATTAAAATATATATTTAAATTTGGGACTCAAGGATCGGTCTAAGTATGGAAGGTTGATTCTCCACGTACGTTAGTCGAAGAGAAAATTTCGATACGTGCGTTTGACATACTGGACATTTTTATCCTCCCACAATCATATTAATATTAAAATTATATTAGTATTTAATAGCACTAAGACATCCGTGCTAGCTCCTTAGGTGCCATTAATATTTCACTATTAGTTAACTCTATAAAGGAGCGTTCTATTATTTCGGTTTTTTAATATTGCTCTACTTTCGCATCTGCATTTGGAAGCTTAAAAATATCGAAAAAGTTTGCAGAAAGATTCCCACACATATATGGTTAGGTTTTCCCTTGAATATGGTAAAACAAAGCAACATACATTCATGTAAGTCCTGTATATACAAGAAATACGAAAAGGGTAGCGTGATTATGTTAGTGACGATCGTCTCTGCATTATCGACATTGTTCGAGTTCGTCATCCTCCACTTCGACTCCAGCATCCCCTTAATACATTACCAATATATTTAAATAAAATATACTTTGATCAGCAGGATCAATATATTCCCTTCAGAGTAACATTGCTCACAGAGAAACGTTTCGCGGCAGGTCGTCTGCATTGAAATAAATTGAGATATCTCTGCCGGATGAGGTTAATGAGAAATTCGCTCGTACCTCGAGAAATTCAGTTGTTCCTTTGGAGGCTGCGGTAACGCGCAGCGGCGCGGTTTGTGTCTGGCACAAAGCGAAGCGTTCGACAACGTAGCGGGACTGATTGTTCGCCGCCAGTAAAACTATTCATTCTTTAAGCGGCTTATTGAAAATGTTCCCAAGGCCGCATCGTCCTTTTGGGTGACTCCGAAACGAGCTACGGCAGCAAGATGGGCTCCGGACTGGTGGCGTTCAGCGCGTCCCGAAAAGCTGTGGAGGGTGCCGCCGAGGCGTTAAAAAGCGAATTACATTCCTCGGGTGTCGACGTCGTGCTTTTGAAACCGCCGCCCGTGAATCCCCTCGTTCTTTATGCATCACCCGTTCTTAAGACGTAAGACCCTACCAAGTATCAGTTTATGACGGCTTGATGTTTTGTGCGCTAACAAAAGTGTTAAGCCGACAACAGGCATCGCGCCCGATTACAACCGAAAGTTTTCCAAGTGCTTCATTACCGTTTTGAAACTCGCTCACTCCCCCGCGCGATTCCCGTTAGCGGAATTAATTACAATTTTAGATTTTGCATTGTCACGAGATAGCTTATTTCTCAGCTGTCTTACTTCTGGAAACATAATTATGAAAAAAAGACCGATAAAAGTCCGACTCGCAGATGTTAATGCGCACACAAGGCAGATCGGGGCAAGATACTGCACTTTTCCAAATTTCAAAGTTATTACTTTTTAGACAACTAATTGTTGCGATGGACTGTACAGATATGATAAAGACAACATTTTTCTATATTTTTAAGGTAGCAATGATCTGGCAAACCGTATATATTCTATAATAATGAAAACACCCTGCAATATAGCAATCTTGCTCTGATATCGAGTCAAGTTGGCTAGTAATTTAGAGTAAGCAGATCACATGTAAAATACGTATCTTTAGCAAAAATTTAATATAGTTTTCGAGTAATTACTAAACAGTTATGTTAATTTTTGTGTATTTGTGTAATTGAATAGTAAAGTTACTTCGGATTCCAATCACGATATAATGTTTTTTCTGCAGTTAAGGGAAATCGGATTTAAATAGCCTCGAAGTATATGTTCGTGCGTTTTTCAATATTTATCTTGAGAGGAACAATGAATATAAAATTGCAAAATGGTCCTTTTAGAACATATTTTTTTCTAAATTTCATTAAACCCTAGATAATTTTGCAATTAAAAAATAGAATAAATGTTAAATATGTATAAAAGGTTACATATCATCGATGTTATTGAAATTGATGTATATTGTAGAAATGATAGAAATGATTTACAAAAAGAACCAGGTAGGGAACGACACTGACTGTTGAGATATAACAAAATGAAATTTAATATTTTGATACTTTTCTAATTGTAATTTTAGACAGTACAAAGTTTACTTCTACCTAAATATGAACTTTAGTATCAAAACAAAAAATGTTAAAAATACATTTTTGGAAAAATGGGAAGCTTTGCCCTCATCTCTCTACAAATCTAACCTAATCTAAACCTAAAGTATCGTTAAAATACGTGCATAAATGTACATCTGTTAATAACTAACATAACGCTCATATATTCAATAAAAACTTATTAATTTATTATTATCCTCAGCAAGATTTAGAAAGTTGTGTTATATGTTGAAAGCTATTAATAAACTGTGAGAAATAGACAAAACCAATTGCTGAAATAATATCCACTATGGAGTCAAATAATATAAATAAAATAAAGAAAAAGTTAGAAGATCTAGTTAGAAGATGCCAAACAAATTAGTATAACATATACATACTTCATTGTTCCTAAAGCAACATATTTTACGAACACCATTAAAATTATCAAACTTTAATTTGTTATATATTCTAAGCTAATGTTGTTATCCACTTAGTTCTTTTTGTAAATCACTTCTATCATCTCTAAAATATATATATAAATTTCAACAAAATTAGTAAGCTGCAATCTTTTATGCATATTTACCGAACAAATTGATTTAGTAATAGTAAAATAAATTTTCGTGCCTCTCAAAATTTTATATTAATATTCTCCATTGTGAGTAAATAAAATTAAACGGTATGTTTGATGTTAGAGTTCTACTAGAGCTAGAATAAAGTTTCTTGCAAATGTATACGGATAATAAAAACAGTTTTCATTCATAAAATGATTGAAATGAAGTATTTGGACGGACGAGGTAAAATTGGTTCATAATTAAGAAACAGCAGGAACGATTTTAGATTTTTATTTACATGAGCATAAGGTCAACTTCACTTTGTCCGTCCATATGTTCAACTTCAATAATTTTAAAAATAAAAATTGCTTTTTACTCGGAACAGTGCATCATACATTTGCAGGCAATTTTATTCTAATTAATATTTTATTTAGTTAATGGAGAATATTAATTCCAAATTTCGAGATGTTCAAATTCGGTAACTTCTAAATCAGTTTTATTCTACTTTTTTACTATAATATTATTTTGATTTTATCAAAGCTCAGGAAAAAATTACTTATGTACTAAAAGGAACGTTTTATAACCTTGTTTCTACTTTTCCTCTTACAACAAATACAAAAGCAAAGAGTATAGTGGCCAACATAACCCAACTAACAAGACTAACTAGATCCCTGTCTCCCTTGCTACTAAAAGCGGTCGAACACCGAGCATACCGTATAGATTGTGTGTTAACGGAGTTAGGCTGCTAGGATTAAAGATGACAGGGTCCCAACTCTGCTCGTGATCAACTCGGTTGTTATCAGCAATGTTTAATTATTTGCAGAGTGGACGTGGAGTCTGGCGTAACGGCCTCGGAAGGGACGTGGACTGCGCCGTTATCGATTCATTCTGTGCAGAACGCTCTCATCCCTGCGATTACAACGTCGTGTCCTCTGAACGCGTACGATATGTCCGTCAAACCCAGGATCTTCTGCCGATAATTTTGTCTATAACGCATGAATAGGTGAAAATATGCAAGATGTAGCACCGTTCGCGTGCGAGCTCCTCGAGTCGACGCGACATATGTTAAAAGGGGACAATGGAGCACGGGAAATACGGTATACGTGTATTGCGACGTCACTTACGTTGACGCGCGTCATCCGGCATGCCCTAAGGCGTCATAATCTGGATTCTTTTCTACGTGGTTATACGACGAGCAGTGCTTTCTGCGTGAACGAGTATTGTCGTCCTTTCACTTGCGCTTGCTCCAAGTGACATCGGCTTGGAATTTTCATCTTTGTCTCGTATTTTCCATGTATTCTCTGTTGTAAGATTTCGTTACATCTCTCGTATCGTTTAATGAATCGTTTAAGGAAACGCTTAATGAAACAGCCAGTAATCTTTATCGCTAATGTTGCGGGTTAGTGATTGGAAAGTGTCGCACTTTCTATTCCTCTTCCTTCTAATATGAAGACGACTTAATACGATTTATGACATCTGTTCAATAAGCAACTGTCATCTCGTATAACTTTAAACTCTTCTAATGGGATTCTTATTACTACGACGATGTATTTGATCGTGTTGCAATTTTATGAAAGTCACTTTTAAGGGAGCGAAATGGAAAATATCGTTACACATGAAAGAGAAAGAAAGCTTTGGTGAAGATGTATGTAAAATCGGAAATGTATTTTCTGTACTTGTATGTGTGTATGTATATAAATAATGTACTAAATCTATTATATATAATATATAATTACGAATACATCAATATAATATTTTGTGAAAATTGCTTTTGTATGTTTTTGTATATAAAACATAATTGCAATATGAGATTTTGCAGATAAATTAATTTTTATGGAAATAGTAGATTTATCAATTACATAATATGCAAGAAACTGTTATATTGAGTTGTATTAATAATTAATGTGTATACAATATGTCCTTTATGGTTATGTGTAACATCAATACATTTTATGTATATACTTTGTGGAGATATGTATGAAAAATATATACGAAGTAATATATAATAATTCTTTACAATAATATTCTATTTCTTTTTAATTTATTGGATCGTTTGTTGGTAGTGGAGATACTTAAATATGATTGTGTTGTTGTGTAACTAACCTGTTCGTATTACTTTTAGTGTAAAGATAATCGTTTTTATACAACAATGTTAACTTGTTCTCTTTCTACATAAAAGCTGTTGCACTACCAGTTGTAAAAATGTATAACTTAAAAATGCAAATTGTTACCTAACTGCAAATTATATTTACTTTGTTAAGTGATAATTATCAACGCCTCGCTAGACTGATATACATAAACTTTACAGTAACTTTAAGGGCTGATTTTTTCAACTTCTTGGTAATTAACAGTTAAATCATATATATATCTTTGTCAAATTTGAAGGAGAAGCAAAGGTAAATATATGATTTACCTGTTAGTTAACTTACCAAGAGGTTGAAAAAATCAGTATATTAAGTTACTAAATTCAGCAACATTTCGAGTTCCTTATGACTAATAAGACTTCAGATTTATCATATAATATGACAAGATAGGAAAGATAGAAATATAAAAAGAAAAGAATATTAAAATTTGCTCAAAACAATATGTCATGTTGAATGTAATATGAAAATCTAAATGTAACTTTTATATGTTGTTGCGTCAATACAATAAGGAATTTACATTATTGTGTAAATTTAATACTTAATTCAATACACGATATGTTTATTTCATAAATGTCATTAAAAGAATTATAAAATTCCCATCATCGATTGTCTCACGTCGTGATCATCATGAAAATTGATCTTTTAGCTGTTTTTAAATTGAGAGTTTACTTCATAAAATGAAAGTGGAGAGTGATTAGTTTATCGTTTCTCGGCTGTATATGTATTTTGTGTACGAATAATTTTGTAAATTAAAACAGAATGCTTCTTGTGTAAGCACTTTACGCATTGAATATCCGTACGACGCGCTTGATTCTTGCAAACTACACAACCATGCCGATCGTCATTGCACGTATTGATGATCAAATTTCTTGCATTAAATGCCATTTGATCCGTACATTTTGCAGGTGTTAGCCGATTTTATAATCGGCCCCACGGTCGTAATTATTCCGTTCGCGATACACAACTGGTAGTAATTAGAAACTGCATATATTACCTTTCGCGCCGCTGGTAGTAATTTCCATCACGAGTTTCACGGGTAACTCACCAGACCGCATCGTGAATAATTAATTTGTATGTAACTTGGCGCGCAATGCGAATAATAAAATTCCGAAGTAAGATTAACGCGCTGTATAATGTTCTATGCATACACATCAGACGCGAGTAATATCACTCGTTATTGTGTTGCCGTGATTACCGCGCTGAAATCGCGTCCGTCGCTTCCGAGTTTTGCGCAGGGTTTGGGAAACGATGTCGATGGAAAATTGCGCGGAACAAGAACGGGGGGATCGAGAAATTCGCTCGCGCGCGCTTTCTCCCTGCTACCGTCGAGAGAGCGGATAAAAATGCAACTGTGATTGTGGACCGACTGCGACTGTGATTGCGTTACCTTTACGACGATATGGATGAAAAACGCTGATTGACTATTTCGGCAATTGGCACGTAATGAACAGAGCAGTTTCACAAGGCGCTCGTCGAAGTGGCTGAGTGTTTCACGAGGGACCAAAAAATATTTATCACAATACCACTACTAGCATCACTACCGAGCGAAATATTCATAGAGTGCACATCTATCGAAAATAAATGTATAACAGTGTGTCTAATCATGCGATATTAATATAAACTATGTTTCACTTAACATTTATGTCGATGAGTGGAATGTATAGATGTAATTTTTAGATAACGTACGATTTTTATATGTTGGATATGTTTTTAAAGGCATTTTATGCGCAATTTTTTGTGCAGTTTTTATTACTTACATTATTATATATATAATTCATGGAGCATTATAGAATTAGTGATTCATAAATGAAAATCTACACGTTAATTGAATTGCATGTTAATGTATCGTGTTAATGCATCGAGAATACATGCTCGGTAAACACCATGTCTTTCATTATTTCGCTCTCAGAGAGATCGATTATGTTTCGTTACAGACACGCCAATTATTTCTCAAATTCGCGAGTGACTGATTGGTCACTTCAATCAGAAATTATTGGCAGGTTCATTAATAATCATACCCGAGATTCATTGCCCTGACAAAAGGTATTGTTGTTAATCATTACGTTAGAGCATGTATTTGACATACAATCTCGTTGATAGATTACAATTCCACCAATCCCGGATATATCACACGAGTGCACGCCAGCCGGAAACGCAATAAATTCTCAATAAACTGTATTGCTATGCTGGTATCCGGCTATTCAACTGACATATTGACAGCCGTTTGTTTTGCTGCCTACAATCTCTATTTTATCTCTTATCAATTTTAGGGTTCTGAAATTTCTATAATCCTTTCTTCTCTTTCTTCTATTAAACCTCAAATCGACATAGTCCTGTTGAAATAATTGATAAATTATATTAATTATAAATATATTGATCATAAATATATTGATTTGCATTATAAAACTATATTGATCAATTATATTAATTATAAACGATTATATTATATATGATTGAAAACTGTAAGAGTTACAAATTTATTTCCATTGAGGTTTATTATCCCTAGAACTTAAAACATTGATAAAATTTTTCAAAACCGGATCAATTTTTCAAACGTTATCATTCTTGAAAACATGTGTTTTGTTTTTTTCATTATAATTTTTTTATCAAATTGCAAAAAATTAAGAGATTTATATTTCTTGATATTTTCTACATTATTTAAAAAAGAAAATAAACTTATAGACTATTATTGTAACACTTAGAAATGGTGGAATAGTCTACATAACACAACGTCAATATGTTAAATTAACATACGGACATGTTACAAATTTCTACATAGATAAATTTCGATACAAACATAATCTGTTTCTACCGTGTAAAGTTTTATATATGTTTATGCAAGATACAACTTTACGATTAAATATCTCGGAGGCGATACAGCACAGTTTATTGAAGTTTCTGTTACACATTGCTAGTTCGATTAACTTTTTAATCATATATATATAGATTTCTTTTACACTTACAAGTAAACTTACTCAAGTGTTACACTTCGATTTTAATAATGCTTTTTATATGCTGTAGTCTAAATCTAAATAAGAGACACATATTGTTTTATACGTGCTTATACGGCCGATAAGAGGGTGAAACACCCTCTTGAAAAAAATCGATTTTAATATTTCCGAGCGAATATTATCGGAACAGTAAATAATACAAAAAAAAAAGTTTCAAAGAAAAGTTTCATGGGTTTTAATGAGCTTTATTACAATGCACTCAGATTTTATAAAATTAAGGAGGAAAAAAAGATTTCGAAAAAAATATTTTCGAAAAATTTGAGTACATTGTTATAAAGCTCATTAAAACCCATAAAACTTTTATTTGAAACTTTTTTATTATTCCCATAATATTCGCATAGAAATGATAAAACCGATTTCTTTCAAGAAAGAGTTTCACCCTTTTCAGCGACTAAATAGGCGCGTATAAAACAATGTGTGTCTCTTATTTAGACCTAGACTACAGCATATTAAAAGGTTATCAAAATCGAAGTGTAACACTTGGGTAGGTTTACTTGTTAGTCAAACACCGAAACTTCCCTAAATCATCAAATTCTTCTTCGACGTGGAAAAATCACAAGTTCGTTTAAACAAGAATATTCTTGCGAATATATTTGCTTTGTTCCAATCGTTTGAAAAAATAACTTGCGCAACACACCTTTGCGAATTTATACTTCCACGTTTTTTATCCAGCTTTGCACTATCCACATAAAAAGTTGATAGGTCAAGCTGAAAGGTGTTATAGAAACAAATGATTGTACAATGTATATCTATTTCCTTGGTATTTTACGTCTCCGGTTGTAAAAGCGTGATGCCTATTCGTGTCTGTCAGCGACGAAGCTCGGGGTCGTACCGTAGTTGTTTCGAAGAATTATTATCATTTCTACGACCTGACCGGTCACACCTCTTACTGTGCGGTATCAGGACCAACCACAGCGTACGACAAACGAATTAATGGTTAAAAGGGACGTTTTTGCCAGTGACCGTCGCTATAAAACGATCTCGCTCCTTTGGTCCTGGAAGCAGTCCATTGGCGGTTTTCGTAAAGGAAGAAACATGGCCTTTGTGAAGGTAAACTAAAGTCGATAGTACAGTATTCTATACTGTAAGTTAATACTCCGCGAGCCGCAGGCACGTATAGAACATATTACTATGGCGCTTTGATGCAACGGAAATTCTCGCGTTATAACAGGCCGGTCGAAAGCATCCACGCGTCGCTTATAATTACGTATTCTTACCAGCAAAACAGTGGAAGATGTTGCGTCTTTTGTGAGCGCGCATTACGCCGCTAACGTTGCAATAATTACGGAAAATTTTACTGTGAAAACCATATCGCGCAGAGGAATTTTTTTAACGAAATTAAATCATTATAACGAACGTAGCGAGAATAGAATATTCCAATGCCGTTACTAAAATCGCGATTGCTGATTATAAATTCAAACATTTGATGATAATTGTGTTAAAATTATATTACATAGCAATTTCAATACTGCATTAACTATAATTATGAAAAGTATAATAACGTTAATGTTAAACTAATAATTATAATCCTTGAATAATAATAATTATAATCCTTGAATAATTTCTGGAACATTTTAAACGCGTAGCACACTTTGAAATCAAGCCGCAAAGCATATTGCCCTAATTAAGATAGCTAGCTTTGTGTGAATATAATAATTACATATTTTTAATTAAAGCCTTCAATACCTTTGTATCGTTAACGTTTACAGAACGGTGAGTAATTTTCTTTGAGGTAAAGATCAGCCACCGGGGTGACTTAAGAAAGCACCATGCTGCGGTCGTTTTAAAGGAAAAGGGGCTGCACAGTGCTATATCAATCTTTATCAAACTTTCTATTTACGAAACTATGTAACGCAGATTTATTGACCTCTAAACCTTTGGTTTACCTTTAGCTAAGTCTGCTTTACGTTTCTGTTTCACGGGTCTCGAATAAATTATACATTCGAGACGTCGCGGAAAAGCGAGAGAAACGTGATGTAAACATCGAAGATATTCCCAGTCTGATCAAATCGTGCCAAGACTACTGTCTCGAAGTAGCAGCAAAGTAGACTCACCCGCGAAAATGATCGGAGTTCTCTTTCTCTTTGATATCCAATTCGCAATAAGTGGATGGACATTAACTTTTCACGACCTGCCGCGCGCGTGGCAAAGGACCACACACCTATAACGCGAAGAATAACACGAAGGGCTCAGCGTTTTTACCTGGCCGCGGGCGAAGACGCGAACGGTCCCTGCAGTCTCCCGCACGGCGGATCGATCCAATTTCAAGTTTCGCCGATCTCGTCGACCGAAGGGCGGATCGCGGCTCCCATAAAACGAATCGTCGGTGAGCCACGGCGCTGAACAAAGTATTACACAGTCGTGACCGTAAAGTACGAGAGCAGCGTGTTTCGGAGGTCTTTATGCGAGCGGTAAAAGCGTCTCGGCGCGGCCGCTCTGGCGCACATATTCGGTCAAAGAGAATAATGACCGGTCTGTTTTTCGGCAATTTTCTCGTACACACGCGCCGGCGCGCCCGCAACGTCCCGATGAAAATGAATTCTGCGCTGGGCGAAGGAGAGGAGGGAGGGAGGGAGGGAGAAGGCGGCTCCCTTCGATTAAATTTAAGGGATTAACTTTTCCAATTATTCGCGCACTGTTACCAATTTACCTTTAACAACGAACGGTACTTTCGCGATGGGCGTTGTCGGCCTGCTTACACGACACTCGAATGACCCTCCTCGCTTCGCAGGGATTGATTGTCTGCGTCGTCTTCGTCGCCGTCGTTGTTAAGGGCTTCCCCAGGATGTACGAGGAAGACGCGATGGGTGAGTGTCTCTCGCTTAATTTATGGACTCGGCCAGCGGGAGGGGCAATTACACGCCGGCGAAAGAAATATTCATTCCGCGTTTAACATGAAGTTCTCCGCGCTCCTTAAATATTTAACAGCGTCATGTATATTTTTCGTATAAATACTGATTCGCGCGATATTAACTTTATATTTTCGCACAGCTCAGAAATAATACTTGAAATTGAGCGATATCCTTTCCACGGTAATCGCTCGAAAAATTGGAGAATACAATTTCACAGGACATTGCCCGTAGATGATGGTAACGTCGAGGAACGGGCGGCCGCAGATGTAGATCGCAACGGACATGCCGGGGCTCATCATCACGTGTACTCGTTTCATCATTTTTCCGGACCAGTGATTGGTCATCATGAGGAGATAACGTGGAAAGATAAGCACGGGCATCATCATCACGACTACAAGTCCCATCCTAAGTATAAATATTCGTACGGCGTGGACGATCACCACACTAAGGACCATCACGGACAAAAAGAGCATCGCGATGGTGAGTATATTTCAATACACGGGATAAAACAATTCCATTCGTGTAATTGAATTTTCCATAGCTGGCTAAGAATAGAGATTAAATGCAAAACTCGATTGTTGTCAGTCATTACGACTAAGTTTTAACAGCACATACAATCACTTGCATTAATATTCGGACATTATTCTTCTTGAAAAAGTATTAATTGCTACACAATTCTTGTTGGAAAAAGAGAGAGAGAGGAGTTCACGATGTTAAATAAAGTCTTAAAATAAATTAGGGCATTCAGTAGTTCTCAAAACATAAATTTTATTTATTTAATTAATAAAGTTTTCGACATATTTAATAGTAGTTTTCGATAATTTAACAGTAGATAACATTATACTTATAATTCTAATATATTGTAAATATATCCAGACATTAATGTGCTTTATTAGTTTTGTTATGCTTATTTGTTATGCTTATTTAGTTTTGTAATTCTGAAAAGTCGTCTAGACCATTCTCTAAGCTTGTTTGTAAACACACAAGATGTATGATTTATATCGGTGAACTAGTCTCATTTGAAAATACATACAAATTATATAGATTAACGGTGAAAATGAGACATAAAGACAAAAATAGTTCATTTAATCAGCTTGTTATTTATCATATGAAAAAGGCATATCATACCGAGGAAACAGTATTTTATTAAGTCTGAATATGAGCACAGTAGTAGATATTATTGAATAGAAAAAGATGTGTTCATAAAAATAACATTAAATCAATATCTCAAAAAAGAAAATTACGAGACCTACGAGACAAATATAAAATTGTTAGACAAATAAAAGAAAATCTTGAGTTATATGCTCCAAAATTAACGGAATTATTTGAAGAAATTAACAAGAAAGTATAATACAGTTTGTCGAGCGTTGAAAGAAAGTGGTTATAACGCTGAAGTTGCTCGTAAAAAGCCATTCATAAACGAGGTAAATCGGAAAAAAGATTAATTTTCGCCAAAGAATTTACTTCTAAGGAGCAAGCCGAATAAGGAGCTGGTGGAATGATTTTTTTTCCGTATAACGATTACAACGCTGTGATACTCGCGAATTTGAATATTTTCTTTATTAACACTTAACACTTTAGAATTTATACTTTTTAGTCATTAATATCACTTACAATATTATCCCGTTACGTTGTATGCAAACTGTACGTTAAATTCTCTTTAACTTCTACTATAATACTTTTCGATATTTTTGTCAATTGATATTTCTGAATGTTAGTGACAATATTAATTTAAATACTGATATATATTTTCCCCTTAACATTATGTATAACCTCGATCTCACATATTGATACTGAGGTTGGCATAAAGTATCGATGTAGCAACCGCAGGTGTACCGCATAACATTGATCCAGAACCAGCAAGGGAGCGCAACGCAACTCGATCTCACCCTCTTAATTAGAATCTCGAAGTAATTGGATACCTGGCCGTGCTCTTAATTAGTATTAGGAAGAAGAACAAGTTTGTTGCATGGCCTGTTTTGCGGTCTATTGAGTACAGCCGTCTCACTTTTCCGGCACATTCCGCAAAAATGCGCGAATCCCTTCACGATTGCTCGTATCCGCGCGCTCCTGTTAAATTTAATTGTGAATGATACAAGAAAGAATGAGAAAGAGGAGGTGGGAGAGAATGAGAGTTTATTACGTTTATTTCGTTGGCAAGCTCGGTAGCAAATCGAGCGAGTGGAACGCAGAGCTTACGGCGAAGCTAACCCGATACGGCGTACGCGGAAAACGTCTGTGTTAACGTCTGCGTAAATGCGAGTTTAATTGAAAGATGCAGGCACACAAGTTTCTATTATATCTTCATCCGATAAGAATACTATTTTTACGTCTTGCACAAGAAATAGCACTTAAGAGCGCGCTTGGTAAATATAAAAGTAATTTTGTATAATTCCATGTGAGAAAAAAACTAGGAGTCAGTAATGACATTTGATCTACAGAGTGTCCGATAACTCACGGAGTAGCCGTGGTATACATGTATATTAGGTCAAAATAAATAAAAAGTTCCTCTATTATTTTGCAAATAAGCACGTAAAATTTTGAGTTATTAATCCAAGAAGATTCATAAATAATCATGCGCCATATGGTAAATGAGCTGTGATGGCAACGTTTGCCGTTGTATGCTTGTATATTAGATCAAACTGAACAAAAAAGTTCTCTACCATTTTGCAAATAATCACGTAGATATTTAGTTATTAATTAAAGAAGATTAGTGCATTACTGCGCACAACTACACAGAGAGAACGATTTAGTTGAATCAAGTAAACACTTCTTTGGAATAGACCAAACGAATTTTTTGATTGATCAAACAAAATTTTGTTTGACGCAACAAAAATATTTATTTGCGGCTTAGTTCCAAAGAAATATTTTTGTCAACCAAATAATTTGAACTATTTCAAGGAAACATTTACTTGATTCAATAAATCGTTTTCTCTGTATATATTCTAATCTTTAATTAATAACTAAACATTTACAAAATTAATTATTTATAAAATAGTAGAGGACGTTTTTTGTTCAGTTTGAAGTAATATATAAGCATACAGTAGTAGAAGTCGCCATCACGTCTCGTCTATCATATGGTGCATGATGATTCACGAATCTTCTTTGATTAATAACTCATAATTTTATGTTGTTCACAAAATGATAGGGGAATTTCTTATTCAGCCTACGTGTTGACCTAATCTACCTGTACATCGCGGCTCCTCTGTGAGTTACCGAACATCCTGTACGAGCAAAAATATATCTAGTAGAGAAGATTTCAAGACTAGATAGTAATGACTAGATAAGTTTTCTAGCCAGTCACTAGCTCGTGACTGGTTAAACATTCTTATTCGGTCTTTTGAATGTCAGGATAGTTTAGTAACTAACCAATTACATAAACAGTGATTAGACAAATAAGATTATACAGTAACGAAATAGAAAATCATCGGTAACTCCTGAATAGAAACTGGACGTCAGAACTGTCTAGTATTTACACCAATTACATAAACAGTGACTAGACGAAAAGGATTACACAGTAACGAGATAAAAAATTATCGGTATATCCTGAGTAGAGATTGGACGTCAGAACTGTCGAGTAGCTATCATTTACATAGACAGTGCTTAGACAATAAAGATTACACAATAACAAGATAGAAAATCATTGATAAATCCTGAATAGAAATTGGATATCAGAACTGTCTACCCACTAAATAGTAAATTTATGTATAGATATTGACGATGTAATACAAATTTACTATCTAGTGGATCGACATCTAATTTCCATTTTAGATTTATAGTACATTACTGGATTTACAGTACTGCTACTAGACAGTTACTAAACAACGTTTGATATTCAATTTCTATTCAGGATTTACCGAATCTTCCATCTCGTCACTGTGTAATTTTTTTCATCTAGATATTAGAGATAAAACGGCTATGAGTAAACCATATGTAGCTAATATAAAACGTTTATTACCGACTATAGTAGTGGTCTAGCAGGTAAAGTGCCAGACTCAAGAGCCAGAGGTTCAAGTACCGAAGTTATTAAAATGAATTTTTCCAATAGAATGGAAATAATACGTAATGAAGAAGAATTACAGGAAAGCACCAAATTCCATTGGATCACCTCTCCTAAGAGAAAGAGAGAGAGAGAGAGATAAAAACTCTAATTAAAAAAACCTATCTAGCCACTAGACATCCATGATACAGAAATTCTGAGATAAGAAAACTATTTAAAGATTATTAGGTACTCCTGACAGAGAAAAATAGAAATTATCGAAGAGAAATAATTTTTTCCTTTTTACTATCTACTCACTGTTTAGTGCAGGCTAAAGAGTTACAAGTTATTTTTTTATATCTAGCTACTAGCTAATTTTTCTAGTACAGCCATTAGGAGAAGTAAGCGTTATATTCTTGGCTAGTAGCTAGCAAGTACTACTAACTAGTAGCGATGTAAGATCCAACTTTTCTGTGTCATTATTAGACAATCACTAGATTCAATTTTTGCTCGGGTATATTTGGTGTGGGAATAATAATTATTATTTATTCAATCATACTGAATTTTAGGCAAACACGTCGAGGGTGAATACCACATCCATGAACCAGGTGGCAATGTCAGAAGTGTGAAGTATCACGCCGACCCTCATGGTGGATTTTACGCCGAAGTGCACAATTACGGCGGGAACGACCATTCGGGTGGTTCGCATGGTTAATAAACGTCGATAACTGGTCGATAGTTAATCTCAATATAACGAATAGCTATTGTATTGATAGGATCACTAATGAAGAAGCTAGAAATGACTGACAAAGACAACGTTGTAAGCGTGACTGCATTTTGTACAAACTCGAAATCGTAGTCCATATATGTGTTAAACGTTTATTGTCACACTTGTTAAGTATGTAGACAGTTGTATTGATATTGTTACAAGTTATTGGCCTTTCACCTTTTCAATGTTACAGTAAATAGGACTGTAATGACCTATTTTCACATGGAAAACGGAAATGTGTCTGTTGTGTATTAATAAAGGTTATTATTATGTAATTTGCAGTTTATATCAAATCTATATTAATAGCCGTTACTCGAAATTCGTCTCGAATGTCGAAATTTGAATTTAGAGATGAATGTAAATTTTTCAGTTGAATCAGAATTGCAAATATAATGTCACGTATATTATATGATTTAATTAAATAACGCAAATCTATCGTCAAATTTTAATCTGGGTATCTCAAGTGAAATAAGTTTCAAATAATTACTATTAATACGCACCTAATTTACACACAAATATCCTGTTTCTAAGTTTAAATTTTACACGGAAAAAAACATTAAACATATCATCTCAATATGCTTCTTGCAACAAAATATTGCTAAAGTGGAATGTTAAAGTGAATGAACTCCAAATATTTTGATAACGTAGAAGCGATTGTCGCAAGATTGTCAATAGAACACAATTACATCTTTTTCATCCACAATTTGTCCTTTTCATATTTCTTGTATATATAGATCTTGTATAAAGCGAGCTGCTTTGTTTTACCATATTTAGCAGAAAATTTAACCACATACATATAGAAATTTTTCTACAAATTTTTCGTATACATATATATTCTAAATTCCTAAATTTAACTGTAAAGATACAGCAATGTTCTTTGCATTTTCTTGAGCAAAACTAACACACGTTTATGTACAAGTTGCATAACTTTTGTATTAGTCAAATATTTGTGTAAACTAACAGCCAATTTTGAATCCTTTTTTTCTATTCTGTCGCATGCTGCATGAGCAATGCTCTGATTAATTCTTGCGTGTACTTTCATTGTGTAAAAGCATTTGTAATTCTGTGCAACCAATACGACGTAAACTTTGCAGAAATAAATTAATGTTTTGTTAGTAAAACTTTTCACACACACAAGAGTATATTCGCTTAATGTTATCGTCTTAATATTATGTATACAAAAAAGTTGTAGAAACCATAATATTCTGGAAGTGGTACATTGGCCTTCTTTGCTGCCTGTCCATATATATTTGTGCAGAATTTTCAGTATTGTATGACCACACCTTATAGATATTTCAAATATACAACTGAGTTTTGCAAATATTTCAAATATTACAGATACAAATATTTACAGATATTTCAAGTATAGTAATCGTTCTGTAAACTACAGTAGAGAGAGGGACAGCAATATTTTTCCAGTTGAAGCAAATATAAGTATAGATATACTAATTGTATATGACATCAGAACAGTATAGATATGTATATAATAACAGCAATTTTTACAAAGTTTACGTCGTACTGGATGCAATATCTATTTCATTTAATTTCACATAAACATTTTTCTAACCGTAGAGAATGTGACTGGAGCAATTATAGCAGTTGTCTCCGTATACCCTGTTTAATTCCTTCACTTTAATAATAATACGTAAGTTCTGATGTGTTTAATAATCAAAATTGTATAAATGTGGGGAAGTCGAGACCCGCTTCCTCATCCTCAACGCAAACCTTTCTCCTGAATTCACTCCTTATTTTACCGCAGTCACGTGATCCCGCTTCATCAAAATGAGTGGGACTGCTTGCTTGGTTTCTGCTGACCGGATGCAGCGAATTGGTCGATCGCTCTCATCAGCACACCGCAACATGTTTTTATCCAATCACGTTCTCAAGCTATCGCGCGCGCACCTTCGACTTCTCGAGTCAGCAACGCGACGGACCGTAGTGGTCCCGACTGTCGAAAAGCGGAGGAAGCGCGAAATTCCCGGCAGCGGGTAAGCGATGGCGAGGCCGGGAGAAAGGGACGAGCCGAAATTTCGCACTCGCTCGTCGAACAATCGCGGCAAACGGGATTGGTCGCTCTATAAGGAGATCGGTTGGTCATTGTGTTACTGACCTGGACCCTGCCAATTTTGTTGCCAATTTCGTTGCCAATTTCGTTGCCAATCTCGTCGCCAGTTTCTAACGCGGATAATTGCATCGCGCAAACGCTCCGACAATTTCTATTAAGTTCTCTTAGCGGAGGCTTTAGTTGTGGGTATGTGTGTGTATGTGTGAATGTGTGTGAATGGGTGAGCCTTCGTGGAGATAGAAACGCTGAATTTCCTCGAGTAAACTACCAGAGCTGACTGGTGGAATAATATTGGCAAGTTAGTAGTCGTTGCCCTTGATTTTGTCCGATGACCGGCTGGATCGTTATCGCAGCTATCATTTATATCGAAAGATAAGCCAAGCGATATATTGTAAGCGATTGTGAAAGCTTTTGTGCGAAGTGTGTACATTTCAATTGCATGCAAGGAAAATTCACCTTAATCTGATTAGTAGTCGTTACTTGAAACTTGGCTTACTCTGACCTGTATTTAGATTCTCATTATTTTCATTATTGTTACCAAGAGGGATGTAAACTCCAGAACCTATAGCCACTTTGACCTAATAGATCTTTTGTAACTTTTCTCTTACTAATTCTTTAGAGTAAATTCAATTCAGCTATTAATAAACTTTAAGATAACTATAGGGGAACATCTTCCTTAATTGGTCATGCGTTGTAATCGCCATTCCAACGCATGTGTTATGCGTTGGCAGGCTGCAGAACACCGACATAATATATGTTCTGCCGTTTTAGACTCTTCTGCACAGAGTCGACATAGATAATCCTCTGTTTTACTAATCTTTTCTAGATAATATTTGAGGGGACAGTGTCCTGCCATAAATCCAATAAGCACTGTAATCTCCCTTTTGCTGGGGTTGAGGGTTGAGGGTTGAGGATTCTTTCCTTTATCCTTTTTGTCTAAGCTAATAAAGATTTTGGCATGTTTGTGGCCAAAGAGTAATTGATGTATTGCTAGAATTTTCCTTTTCCTCTTTTCTCTCATTACTTAATATTTCTTTTGACGTGCCTTTTGAAGAGACTACGTACAAATTCTGGTCAAATAAGATATTTAGATTTAATTCTGAGTTTAATGTGAGTTTTTCAGTTAAATCGCGATTAATATCGTATAAAATGTACTAAAAGTGAAGGGTAGTTAAGATGAAACATGCAAAATAGAACATCTTAATTTTTCTTCTATAATAAAAATCGTACACTCCATATCAGAAGGCTCTCTTAAAGATATTTCGAAAAATGTTCTATCTTTACTCTTACCCTGAATGGGAAGATTATTGGATTAAATAAACAAGTCAAGTACTCTTAGGCCCTTATTCAGACTAAACATTAGCTTGGTGTCTACATCTAGAAAAGGTACAACAGTTATCCCGGTCATTCAGATTTGTGGAAATTGCTAGATGAAACATGCAGTTTAAAACCCAAACTTTTCTTTTTCTACACTACCGTAGTAAGACTAAGAATTATCTACGTAACCCTAATATAGTGATCAAAAACGAACAGAGCATGACACAACTTAAATTACAAGTATAACGGATTGCCTGTTTTTGTGTTTCTGTGGGATCTATGTCCTACTGAGGTTGAAGAGGTTCTAATTGACCTGCTGCATATTTCTCTATGTAGAGAGAGAGAGAGAGAAAGAGAGAAAGAGAGAGAAGCTATAAATATAAATCGGAGAACTTTAAAGGACACCACACACTTAAAGATCCTAAAGCTCCTGCTGAGAGAGTGGCTTATAAACTGTTCAACAGATGAGATGTCAACACAGCTCAATTTTAAATAACCCTTCGATGTATACTTTCCAACAATGCAGAAATTGAGTAAAGGAAGCCTCATCTTCAAAAAGAATTCACTTCAATGCTACACGGATGGCTCAAAGCTAGTAAGTAGAAACACAGGGAGGGGTATTTTCGAACCCATCTATGCGATTAAAATGCCCTTGGGCACTGATAGGATTATTTTCCAAGCAGATATTATAGCCATCGCATACTGTGCCAATTATATACAGGAAAAAAGTATGAACTGTGTGACGATCAATATGATTTTAAATAGCTAGCCAACGTCAAGATCTATACATTAAGGCCTTCTTAAAGATATTTCGAAAAATGTTCTATCTTTACTCTTACCCTGAATGGGAAGATTATTGGATTAAATAAACAAGTCAAGTACTCTTAGGCTCTTATTCAGACTATATAAGACTAAAAAACAGACTATTCAGACTATAATAAGACTAAAAAATAAGTATTGTTTTAGCACCTACTTTAGGTAGCTCATCTGCCATTTCATTACCTCATGTACTACCTCATGTCCTAGTACCTACCATAGAGAAACTTTGTTATCCCTCGCCACTTAAGGTTAGTAAGACAAGATTAATAAGATGCACCGGCTCGCAGGTATGTGGCCTTAATGTATAGATCTTGACGTTGGCTATTTAAAATCATATTGATCGTCACACATTTCATACTTTTTTCCTGTATATAATTGGCACAGTATGCGATGGCTATAATATCTGCTTGGAAAATAATCCTATCAGTGCCCAAGGGCATTTTAATCGCATAGATGGGTTCGAAAATACCCCTCCCTGTGTTTCTACTTACTAGCTTTGAGCCATCCGTGTAGCATTAAAGTAAATTTTTTTTGAAGATGAGGTTTCCTTTACTCGATTTCTGCATTGTTGGAAAGTATACATCGAAGGGTTATTTAAAATTGAGCTGTGTTGACATCTCATCTGTTGAACAGTTTATAAGCTACTCTCTCAGCAGGAGCTTTAGGATTTTTAAGTGTGTGGTGTCCTTTAAAGTTCTCCGATTTATATTTATAGCTTCTCTCTCTTTCTCTCTTTCTCTCTCTCTCTCTCTACATAGAGAAATATGCAGCAGGTCAATTAGAACCTCTTCAACCTCAGTAGGACATAGATCCCACAGAAACACAAAAACAGGCAATCCGTTATACTTGTAATTTAAGTTGTGTCATGCTCTGTTCGTTTTTGATCACTATATTAGGGTTACGTAGATAATTCTTAGTCTTACTACGGTAGTGTAGAAAAAGAAAAGTTTGGGTTGACTCCATGTTTCATCTAGCAATTTCCACAAATCTGAATGGCCGGGATAACTGTTGTACCTTTTCTAGATGTAGACACCAAGCTAATGTTTAGTCTGAATAAGGGCCTAAGAGTACTTGACTTGTTTATTTAATCCAATAATCTTCCCATTCAGGGTAAGAGTAAAGATAGAACATTTTTCGAAATATCTTTAAGAGAGCCAACTGATATGGAGTGTACGATTCTTATTATAGAAGAAAAATTAAGATGTTCTATTTTGCATATTTCATCTTAACTAGCCTTCATTTTTAGTACATTTTATACGATATTAATCGCGATTTAACTGAAAAACTCATATTAAACTCTGAATTAAATCTAAATATCTTATTTGAGGCAAGTTTCAAGTAACAACTGTAATAATAATAGCGCTCCTTATCTTGCTAAAGTCAATAAAAAGATCAACAAAAGTGCTTCGATGTCACGCAGTGCGATGCAATGCGCTGAACGTGCACGCGATCCAGCCATCTTCTACGTGCGAATGTGCGCCGCAACGCGGGTCGATGCAGCCGTTACTAAAGCAAATGGACGGATTACGAGTCGACTGCGTGAAACAACCTCTTTCTCGGGCATGGGACACCTCCAGGGACGGTTATTCCAGGCTTGACCCAGGCCGATGCACACGATCCCGTGGGACGTTCCGCAAGAGAGGATGCGTCACTGCCCGAAGCTGCACCGCGAGTGCGAGAATGCGCTTAGCTAGTCGGGAAAATTACAGACCGATTATTTCGCGGTTACCTACGCGGCCCCGAGCTCGATTTCATTTAACGGATCTCGCGTTTCGCGCCCACGCGCGTCCCTTTGCTCATCCGCACGGTCAAATTATACGAAACTAACTGCAATAGATCTCGAGAGCTTGACTTTGTTTGTAAAATACTATCGGAAATGTCAGGTGACGGCTTTTCGCAGTTATGGGGGGAAAGGTTAAATCTCTGGTATCAAGCGTGTCATGCTTCAAAGCCGATTTCATCGCGATACGTGTTACATGCGTAAAACATTTGTAACATAAATAGACGTTATTGTGCGACGCAGTTGAATGACTATAATATTGTAAAACGTTTCGCAATTGAAGTTTAATAAAAATTTTAATTTCTCTGACACAATGTGTAAATTATCAGTATCCCTTAAAATCACATAAGTTAATCATTTATTGTCTGTGACCGATGCGGCTCTTAAAGAGCTTGTTTTGTCTCTCACCAACGCGTAATAAAATTGATTATCATGATTTTAAGCACTTTATAATGATATTTAAATAAGTAGTAATGTCGTTTCTAGCGATATTATTATTTACGATAATTATTATCGTTTCCACCGTAAATATAATATACGTTAATATAATATATAACGTTAATTGATTGTGTAATATACAATGTAAAATTGATTTGAGCGATATATATGCAAAAATCGTGGCTAATGATTGATAGTATTTATTAACATACTAATCATTATCTAAATGAAAATATACAATGGAGATTAAGTAAAATTTTAGTTTCTCTGACACAACGTATAAAATGTCAATATCCTTTAAGTGCGCATAAATTATTTATTATCTGTGACTAATGCGGCTTTTAAAGGGCTTGTTTTGTCTCTCATCAACACTACCGTTCATATCACACAAATTCGCTGGTACGCGTATGGTTTGGCTTCCAATAAGTTTTCTTGAAGGTTACAAAAAATTCTTTAGTATCAACTTGCGTCTACGTTACAAGATTCATCACGGTATGACATACGCGCATACTTTTACATGTCACAGAGACAATACACGAGTGAGAGCAGTACAGGGACGAGTAAATAAGTGCGCGCGCCGGTCATCTTAGATTTTTTAAATCTTTGCTCCGACCATATTGGTCAATGAAGCGGAATTTAAATCTGAGCATTATCATAGATATCACATGTACTTGCCCTCTATTTTTATTTTCCTTAGGATGTCCCTTAGAAGGTCTTTGCTGTTTAGATATTAAGAAGTGGTTATATACATTTAAAAGACATATTATAACCATATTATTACAATATTATTATAAGACATGTAGATATATGATAAAAGAACTTAAAAGTTTATAACAAATTATAAATTTGTTTTTGTTTATAACATTGACAGCATTAATGAAACTGTGATTTTCAAACTTTCTTAAAGTATTGCTTACTTTTCATTTTCGGTTTAAATTTTCGTATTATATTTCGACTATTTAAAAGATTATTCGATCATTAAAATTTATTCAAAGATATTAAAGATGTCTTTCCTTATAAGATAAATGAAGTATTCCGTATTTTACCCGACTATTTCTTACTATCTTTTTAAAATATACCTTCAAAAAAATCAATATTGCTTTAAAATTACTATAAATAAACGAAATCTCTCCGTAAAGAACAAATTAATAAGAAAAAAAAAACACTAAGCATTATAACTAATAAAAACTAATTTCAGTTGCCTTGAATAGTTTTCCAATCACCTTCCCAAGACTTTCCTAAAGTATTACTTACTCTTTCATTTTCTTTCTTAAATGTTCATATTATATTTCGAATATTTAAAAGATTATTCGATCATTAATATTTATTCAAAGATTTAAAAAATGACTTTCCTTATAAAATAAATGAAGTATTTTGTTTTACCCGATCTATTCCTTAATATCTTTTTAAAATTTACCTTAAAAAAATCAATATAGTTTTAAAATTATTAAAATTATTAATTATTAATTTTATTATTAAATAAACGAAATCCCTCCACGCGTGTAAAGAACACATTATAAAGAAACACTTAGCATTATAACTTAATAAAAACTAATTTTAGTTTTCTTGAATAGCTTCCTAATTACAAAACAAAGCTTCTAAAAACAAAATAGTATCCTCTAATACTCAAAGTTCCTCTTTATATTATAATCAAATATGTAGAAATTATATAGAAAGGAAATTATACAAAGTTAGGTTTTCCTCAGAAGATAAGGATTCTCGATACTAAAAGTGTTCGTTTATTTTATATCTCGAGTGGCTTCATCGTCGTCGTATTCAAATATGCCGTCACGCTTTTGTATTCCGTTACGATCCTCAATAAAAGTCAACTCACCGTTTCAAGAGACTTTTGGAAAAAAGTCTTCCGTGACGCAATCAATGGAGCGAAATCGATTGTTGCTTCAGTGAAACGGCTTTCGGGCATTCACATACGTGGCGTTCACCATAACGACGTTTCATCGCACAGGACTGGTCGATTTTATGCATAGGAAAGTGATTGGTCCACAACGTTTTTGTTAGTCGCAGAAGCCGTTTCTATACGTCTGCTAAATAACGGTGGCGAAATTCCCCCCAGCAAAAATGAAGGCAAGCGCGCGCTATATAAACTCTCATCGATATCGGTAAAGTGTATCATTCGCATTTAGATATCAGTGAACATCAGAAAACATGACCACGAAGGTTAGTATCTACAAAAATGCTTCGTTACGTTGCTTCCCGATTCATCATTAATCGCCCCGATTATTGCAGACTGCAACCATCATTTCTGGTTACATAATATTTGATATACCGCAAAAATCCGTGAGTGAGAGAATAATTAACGTGATTTTCAGTAAAAGCTAAAGAGGCGTGCAGAATTTGCGCGGATTTTTATCGTGATGAAATATTCAATTCACAAGGTGTCTACACTAAGAAAAAGATATCTAAAAAAAAAAAATTTTTTTTAATTTTTTAAAAATTTAAAATTTTTTTTAAATTTTAATTGACAAATATTTATTAAATGCTATATATTTACATATTTATTTAAATCAATATTCTTTTCATTTAAATTGAGTAAACAATATTCGATTTAAATGAAGAAAAATTTGATTTAAGTAAACATGTTAATGGTACCCACTTAATAAGTATTTGTTCATTTTTTAATATTTTTTCTCTCAATGAATTAATTAATTGAATATGCAGCGCAATAATCTCGTCAGACACGCGATTACTATTAGTTTCTCGTCAAATTAATTAAAATAATTTATTTAAACGCAAAGTAAAAAGCTTCTACTTGTAATCGATCTTAGAATGGATACGTAACCATTCTAAGATAGTAAAATTTCTTCTGCGCTCCCTGTACGAAAATTTATGTAAATGACAACAATTTGTCGGCAGCTCGTCCTACTATTAGCCGTATCCGCCCTCGTAGCGATCCAAAGTGGATTGGCGGGACACGCTCACAGCTTCGCCCATTTTCACGGACCGGTCGAAGGGCACGGACACGAAATAGTTGTTCACGATAAGCACGGCCATCACGATGTGGACTACGTTGCGCATCCCAAGTACGAGTTCGCGTACGGCGTCGAGGATCATCACACCGGCGATTACCATGGACAGAAAGAACATAGAGACGGTAGAGTGAATGCCCGATCCATACACGATATGTTGCGGATAGCCAATTGCTGACAAACGTATCCTGGAAACGCAATTAATATCAACGTGCCAAATAATTCGATAATTGTGGCTTAATTGTGGCTTGCGTTATGGACTAAAATTGACTTATCTACGTTACACAAATTTTCCAATTGATATTATCTGCTTTTTCGATTATAAAGGAAAGCTAATTTTTCTGTTATAAAGGAAAGCCGGATATTGCTGTTTAATGTACGCGTCTTAATGCTACATTTAAATTGCACCCTCAGCGACTTAAGTTTCGTGAAATATTCAACACGGCAAATTGATTAAAATTTATGTAACCGCGCAAAGTGCTGTTGAATTTTTTACGATGCCCGCGCAATAGCGCGGAAAATTCCGTGGTCTAAATGTTACTAAAGTCCCTGAAAATTTCGATCAAAGTTTGTTTACGTAGACCTTTGCATGCGAAAGATATTTCAAAGCGCGCAACTCCGAATCGCAAAACGCCGGGCCGGGGTAGTCGTGCTTAAAGTTGTTGGCACGGCTCTTTTTTCTCTCGGCCGTATTTTTGCGTTTAACGACTGCGCCCGATGGCGATGTCGTAGTTAAACGTTATAAATGATGGGGTTAGATTACACGACAGTACGCTTTAGTGCTCTCCATTTTAATTAAACAGCGTGGCGGTACCTATATTGACGTAACATAATATGTGGGCGGCACATGCATTACGGTAATATCGATGACACATCCGCGTATCTAATTTTGAACAATTAATGCACGTTTGCGGGTGTTCGCTATAACGATCACGGAGTTATGTTAATACTACAGTGCCGGCCGCGTTCAGGTCACCACACAAGCGTACTTTTTGTTTTCAGGAAAAAAAGTTGTCGGCGAGTACACAGTCAAAGAGCCAGGCGGCAACGTGAGGATCGTGACTTACCATGCCGATCCGCATGGAGGATTTTTTGCTCACGTCCGCAACTCCGGCGGTAATAACCATCACGGTGGTACATACGGCGGTCATGAACACGACTGAAGGCGTCGCGCAACTGTAATTACTTTAATTAAGACCAATTACACAACAATTACACACAACAATCAGACGCTGGTCCTAAGTTATTGTCTGCTTATGTCATCATTATTGTAAATAAATATGTTTCTCTCTAATGCCCGATGCGTTTCACTTTCATCTCGTTTTCATCGAATTTAAAGCTTTTCTGCATTTGCGAAATTGCTGAAGAACGAAAAGATATGCTAAAAATATAACCTGCACCTAAATTATCTCTTCCCGAGTGGTACATAATGCACAGAAATTTGTATCTCGGAAGGTAATGCAACAAACTTGCTCATTTGCGGAAATGCTGATGTGCTCTTTGTAATAAACTCATTTCGAAACATGCTTCAAAGAAGCATTTCGAAGAAGTTCTTCATTTTGTAAGTTATCGTATTGCCGTGCATATGCAATGAAGTTTCTTAGAACTATAGTATTGTCTTTCAGTTATAGGTTCTAAGGAAGATTCCAAATTAACGTCTTCTCAGCACGAATTTTACCGTCAGTTTCAGCGATCTTTACAACCATTAACATTAATTATTATAATATTTATACAAGTTATATAATTCAAAAAAGCAATTCGTTTTTCCTCAAATAAAAGTGATATTAGCATTTTCTCATTTTTCTTACTCGATAGATTCTGAGTAGAAAATAGCTAGAATAGCCAGAATAGTCAGTAATTGGGCAGAAATTTTGTTTACTGTTCAGAATTTGTTAAATTACAAATTCCATCCAATTTAGTCGACATTTTTTATTATAGTAACTAGGCAATGGAACTCACCAATTTCTAGATAGTTATCAATTTCCAGTATCTAATAAATCATTAACCATTTTTTAATAATTTTTTAATACTTATTTTTACTTTTAATATTCATTTTTTCATTCCTAACACAACGTTAAGTGTTTCGATCGTTTTCCATTGTTATTCAATAAGAATTACCTATTCTTAACTATCTATTAAGAATTATCTATAATTAACTCTCAACGTAGACCAACGTTCTTTATATATTACTAATCAGAAATATATTCCTTTTTTAAATACATAATCTATTGGTTATACTATGTGTATTAAAAAAAAGCTATATATTTTAGCATTGAAAGACAATTAATATTTTATACAGTTGTTTTGAAAGTCGGGTACAATAAACTTTACCTACAAAGACTGAAATATTATGATCTGCAATAGTAAATCACACGCCTAAATGAGGACAAAACTGTATGTGCCTCTATTCTGGAGGGTTAACAGAAATTCAATAAATTTATAGTTAACTATCGAATTTCAGTAAATAACAGTTATTGAAGAAGACCAAAAAAGAAATAATCGAAACATTTAGGTGTGTGCCTGAGTGTGTGTTTGTGTGCATGTGTTATATATTAGCCTTACAGTGTGCTCCACACAAAAATGTTCACCAACATTACTAGATTATAGATTAATATAGAATACTAGAATATATATACTAGAGAAATCTTGAAAGAAAGGACTATAGTACATCAAAGTAGACTCGAAAAGATATTGTCTAGTAATGGATCCAGTTGTCTTCATTATTAGTTATTGCTATCGACTAGTTTTTCAGCATATTCATATGATTGAGAGCGCTGTAGCTTCCTGATTCTGGTCGAAAACTGCTTGAGAATAAAGATGAGTTTCCCTCTTAGTTTGTACTTGATATAGGACTAAATATTCTCAACTGGATTCGTATCTGGGAACAATGCAGGCCATTCTATTGTAGTGATACCATTTTCAGCTTTCTACTTTGTGCAAAGGCGACTTCATTGTTGTCTTCTTAAAGCTTCCAATTGTCTATATTTTTCCCATAAAATTTCTCGGTAGATTTCTCGACAAACATTTGTGATAAATATCAACATAAGATTTCGTTCAAATAGACAAGAGATGTCCTCTCTCGACATTATCGTACGGGTTAAACTCCTCTTTGGCAAATTGTCAATATTTCCTACTTTTTTGTACTGTATCACCTACTTCTGAACAAATGACTTTGACTTTTCTAAGCAATCTTGAAGTTTGAGCATATGTTAATTTCGATCCTTTTGCATGCTAAACTAAAAACTCTGCCTCGTAACGCTTGAAATACGTTGCACTCATTTTAAAAGTTTCCACTCTAACAAAAAGTAACGTTCGGAATGACAACATATATACTGCATACACTGTGCAAACGAACACGCTCCAAGCTTTCCAATGTCATAAAGCAAATGACGCTACAGTCAGCCGTTTTGAATTAAGGTCGTATACTATCTTGTGTGAAACAGACTGTATATATCTAATGCATAACCAACCATGGAAACATTAAATATTTATATGCACTCGCATTTCCACAAAAATGCAAATATTTTTTAGCTTTTTTTATATATTCATATTTTCTTTTTTATTTCCGTGTTTTGATATTTACTATAACGATCATTTATAGGAAAAAGGTTATAGAAATAAAAAATTATAGCATTAACTTCACATTGTCCAACTTTATTGCAGTGAATGTCAACCAGAATAATGTAACAGACATAAACTAATTGTCATTTACTAATTAGTTTGTTCTGATCAGTATCTGAAACAAAGTTTTGGTTAAGAAGTAAGAGATAGTATGATTGCGAGTTTTGACTGAGAATAATCTAACTATCAGTCACTGGTCTGTTTGTCCTGGTTAGCTGCTGGCAAGTATTGATCCAAGAAATACTTTTTTAACAATGCCATTTATTAAAGATTTGAGTTACTTATATACTATACTGGCCAATAATTAACAGTTTTATCTTAAGATGATCTTCTCAGTTTTTTAACAGTTACCGTTTAGTAAAGTCCAAATAATAAAAAACTAGTAAAGTAAACGTAAGGCAAATCCCAGTAATTGAACAATAATGATTGATATATTAATAATAGATTTATATTTGACATTTAAAAAAAATTTGTTTTGAAATTTGCTGAAAGATATTTGTTTCTGCCAATTTGTAATGTTGTATTTGATGAATGGTTAATCATTAATTAATACATAAACTAATCTATAAGTTAATGTATCAATCATTGGGATTGTTCAATTACTGCGATTTACCTTAGTTTCCACTCAACATGTGACCAGCTTTTCCCGGAAATTTTCTGCTCTGTATATATATTTTAATGGCAAAATTATACAGTTTACAGCAGCTGCTGTTCCTGTGTTGTTTCTAGAATAATTGGTAGTTCGCATTTCATACTTCTATCGAACGTTATTACGACTTTGCTTATACAATTGAAAGCGTTATTACTTAGGGAGTAGCGACAGCAACTCAGAAGTGTAGGCAGGACAAATAAATGGACAGATTGCGTGTACATAGGTCTAGCCCAATGAGCGAGAGAGGCGTTCTAAGCTTCGACGAACATATTGGGTCACGTATTGAGAGCCAGCACGATCGCTATCGCGAATAGACCGGCAGAAATTGAATTGCACTTGCGGAAGCTATACCGGACTCCGAATGGCGTGTAATTCTCCATTATCGCACTAGAAGGTACAAGCCGAAGAAACGATTTAAATAATACGAAAGATCCACGTCTGACGACGACTTGAGCCGCGGTTTCGCCCCTACGGAGAGATTTCACTGTTTACATTAAATTAGCGAACGTTCATGGGAGGAAACTTTGCGGGCAGAAGCGATCAGTGTAATACTTTAATCTGCACTCATGCTTGATATAAACCTTTGATATACCGGGTAATTCGCTAATCTCTCCGCCGGCAATTTTCTCCGCAAACATTCCGCAGTTATTTCCGAATCTTTTCAGATACACACAGCCGTCTCATGCGCTTCGTGTGGCGCAGTGTTCGCGAAATCAGTTTGGCAGACAGTTAATCGCGGAACATAACGAATGTAAATGCTAAGCGGAATAACGGCCCGATAAATATTTGCGCGCGGGGATAGGCGTATCCGAGATGTAATTTTAGCCGCTCGTTGAGAGTTCCGATTAAAAGGATGAAATTAAGATTCCGTACTTTGAGTCAAAAGGAACGCTGCGCTGCTGAACTAGAGCGCGTCGTATCTAGAAAGACGAGCTAAGCTTAAATGTCGACGAAGGTATATCACGTAGAGAACGTAGCTGCTTGGCGCCAGGCAACGTATTAATTTTTCAAGGCGCATCAGAGATGCGAGTGAAAATTAACCCGTTGCATGCACCATCGACTATCCTCAAAGGCGCGCATTTCGTCTATCGAGAGAGCATAAATGCATGAAACGACTGCGAGCAGCCGGTAAGACGTGAGCTGCCGTTTATTCGTAAATTAACAATAACAGCATTAATTACGATGATCGGCGCTTATTGTAGAGTCATATCGACGCGAGGGAAACATGTCAGATATAATCAACGTGTATGTTGTCGCGCGCGCACCACGAAATTCGATACTTCGCTCGGGCAATTCCACTAACTCTGCGGCCGTAATTTTGCGCAAAAATCCAACCTGGAATAAATCATCGCGAGTGCACGGCGTACTCAAGCCCTGTATATTACGCGAGTAATCATGATTGATAACATGGGAGGAAGAAAACTGCGAGGTATGATATATGAACAGGGAAAACATACGGCGCGCACGTGGTTTCAATGATTCCATTTATGTGAACGATAATACATCCGGTCTGCGTGTATCGATGTTTCTTGTCCACTTTCCCTGTTTCTATTCTCTCTTTTTTCCTTTTCTTTTTTTTTTTTATAATTTAATACCATCCGCGCACAGGCGCGGTTACAAAAGAGGCTCCCTTCGGCACGTCTTTTTATTCACGGAAGTGATAAATGAAATCTCGTGCGCCCGCTCCATCCAACGCGGAAAAACAGACAATTCCGAAACTACTTCTTCCCCGGCGCCGCGAAGAGTGTAATTTTATCAGCGTGTTATTCCGGTCAGTACTGCGCCTCTTCCTTCCCTTCCGATCCCGATTTCTCAAAGTCTTAACGCCGGCTTGCGAACACCAGCTAATCCGCAGGAATCGTTCGCTGAGCGCATTGTTCGGGTCGGACGAGAGCTTGCGAGCTCGGACGGGATGAGAGTGGCGTTGGTGGAGCTCAATCAGTCAGAAACGAAGGAACATTTAAACCTTCAATTTCCGAAACACTGGGAGAAATCTC